GCTTTCACGGCCATCGTTAATTTGTTAGTTTTTTTTGTTAGTGTTGTAGGCTGTTTTTTCGAGGCTGTTAGCGTTCGTCTTCTGAGATTTGTTCTCGACGTTTCGCCAACACTAGGGGTTGGCATCTTCTGCACGATGTTACTGATTCGCTTGTAAGCTAAAACTTATAGGTACAACGCGGCGTCAAGTATTTCAAGAAAGTAAAGAATGGTTAACATATTAAAAGTCGTCATTTACACATTATATCCGTGCTCTTCCATTTATATTACATGTAATGCAAGAGTAGTTATGGTGTTGTTTTTGGTTTAAAGTTATAAAAATGGTCTGTAGATGAAATTGTCATGTTTGCATCAAGTTACACTATTAATACGAAAAAGTTGTAGTAATTTGCAAGGGAAGCCATCGTTCCAGTGTTAATGAATGTGTTTCTAATAAAAACAAACAAATTATGGCAGAAAGGTAAGATTATTAAAATTTCTAGTTATTGTACTTATCCAGTATGTAGTAATGATATTATAAAATTCACGCATGCAAATGATATGAGAAAAGATAAAGGTAACGATAGAATCTTACATTCTGACGAGATCCAAAAGTCAGAAACTTCTATAGTGTGTGGTATTATGCCAATGTTAGGTGATAGTGTTACAATTGAACCCACGGTGAATCCAAATTCGAGACAAGAATCGGTTTATTGGTCTATTGGAATTAGAACCAAAGGAACCCATCTCAAGTTCATCACAAGAAGAGCCTAGAGATGAAACATCCACGGATTGCAATATTAGAACGCGCTCCGGAAGATTAGTAGGGGAGAGTTACCTAAGACGGGACGGTTCCCAAGTAGGGACACTAGCAATTCTAGAAAATCTGTAACAAGTGGCAACACCTGCACTGGAAGAATGAAAACTCGCCATTCAGTCGTATTGTCACGTAAACGACACGAGGCTAGCATACCGGTAGCGTTCGTCAGAACAAGTTGTTAATGTTTACATATTTTTTTTAAATTTATTTACGTACAACATTATAGTGAATATAGCGTTAATGGTAAGTATCTGTGAAACTTAACCTTATTAGTCAATAACAGAGTTTATAGTCATTGCATTTCACTGTAAAGTATTTGCCACTAAAGCTTTTGTTTAATATCGGTTAAGATTTGTCCAAAATGGGTGCAAATCTCTTAAGATGGGACAAAGTTAAACTTCCTAAGTCGGGACGTGCCATCTTAGGAACTAAAATATGGCTACAGATATTCTTCTTATACCTGCCTACTTTTAACTAATTAAATCATTAATTACTCATAAATTCTTACATATAACGGTAATTCATTCTAAAAACATTTATAAGTAGGGGTTCAGTAATTAGATTATACCCAAGGACGTCATAATATTCTAACCTTGATTATAGCTAAGTAAAGATAATGTGTCATTAAAAAATGTTTTATTCAGTGAACTCTATATCTCGTAAGTGGCACTGATATATTTTTCTTTTACAGATGCCAAATAGAAATCCAAATTCCTATTACAAAAGAAAAACTGATCGTGGAAACTGGTCCGTTCAAAATATGATTCTAGCTGTACAAAAAGTTCGGAATAACGAACTATCGCCTCGAGAAGCTGCTGACAGATATAATATTCCTAAAAGTACTCTTCAAAGACGAGTTACAAACAAAAATAAAATCGTGACCGAAAATGACAAATATCTTGGTTGGTTTAGGCAAATATTCTCAGTTGAACAGGAACACGAAATTTTAGATCATATTCTTGAAATGGAAAAGCGATTTTTTGGAATCACTTATAAAGAACTTCGTTGTCTGGCATTTGACTTTGCCCAAGCCAATAATATTGCTAACAATTTTAATAAAGATACTCGAATGGCCTCTAAAAAGTGGGTTTATGGGTTTTTGAGTCGACATAGAAATATTTCTCTGAGAAAACCAGAAGCAATCTCATACGCTAGAGCTACAGGATTCAACAAGAATGCAGTCCAAAGTTTTTTCAACAACCTGGAACGTATTTATAATAAACATCACCTCACTCCAGATAGAATCTGGAATATTGATGAGACCGGAGTGACCACCGTCCAAGAATTATCTAAAGCTCTTGCTCAGAGGGGTAAAAAGCATGTGGCAGGTTTAACAAGTGCCGAGAGAGGAGTTAATGTCAGCGTAGTAGCTGCTATGAGTGCAAGTGGTAATTTTCTTGCGCCTGCTTTTATATTTCCCAGAAAGAAAATAAAACCAGAGCTGATGGACAATGCACCTAACGGTAGTCCGCCATTTCCACAGGACAAAGGATGGATGGATCGTGATATTTTTTTAAAATTCATAAAATATTTTGCACAACAAACCAGACCTTCGAAGGATTGTTCAGATACGAACCAACATTGTTCAGATACAAAAAGTTTAGACGTTATAAACTTCTGTCGCGAGAATGGTATTATTTTATTATGCCTGCCACCACACTGTACGCATAAAATGCAACCCCTAGATATTTCATATTTTAAATCATTTATGAGTTATTATGATTTGTACCTTACTAGATGGCTAAAAAATCATTGTGGTCGTACATTTGGAATATATCAAATCTCAGGGGCTGTTGCAGAAGCATTCTCAAAGGCATCTTCTGTACAGATAGCGACAAATGGATTCCGAGTAACCGGAATTTGGCCTTTTAACGAAGACGTATTTCAAGACTGCGAATTCGCTCCCTATAAAACGACGGAACAATCAGTGGACAATGAAACTACATCACAGGTCAATAATACGGTCACCCGTAATGATGGCTCATATCGAAGGCGTAAATCAAGTTGAAATGTATGATAATCCGATTCCTTCAACCTCAAAACAGTCTGTTTTAAGGTCACCTAAAGATGGCGATTCCGAAGATAACAGACCGATACAGAGAAGCCAAATCATTCCTATCCAATTTCCGACATCCAAGGTAAAAGTGACTGATATTAGTCCGCTACCAAAGGCACAGAAAAAGAAAGGTAAGACTTCATCTAGACATTCTCTGAAATCCACGATACTCACAAAATCGCCGTATAAAAATGAATTATAGACGTTGCAATCCACAATCCCTACTGTCCAATATCAAATCTTCAGAATTCATATCCGAAATTGGACAGTATAATTTTATCACCCAGTAGACCGAATGAATTTATTTGTTATTAAACACACACCCGTAGTTAATTAGGTTACATACTGATTTGGTCAATTATCAACAATATAATTTGGACATCAGTCAAAAGTGCTGACAAAGTTAAACAATTTACATAAATTAGACACACATATCACGCGAGGCCCGCGAATATATTGACCCAATTAAAACTTATATAAAACTAATATCTCTTGCCTAGAGAAGCATTCAATCAATATTCACTCAACAAACTTGATAGTCTTCAGCGATCAACTACAACAGTCTCTACTCAAAGTAATCCCGGGTCAACACTCATAGTGTACGTCTCATCAATAAACTCTGCTACTATTAATTGGTGTTTCCATTACAACTGAACGAACATCTCCACTGAGCCAACGAAGGGGAATTTGTTCACCTACTAACAAGGTTAAATCTGTGAAACGAACTTATGGACCACAGCGCTCGAAATGCAAATATTAGCAATATCACAGTCGTCACTTAAATTAAAGATGATTCAAACTGCATTGTATGTGGAAAGAAGTACGCAGAGATTAGTGAAGACTGGTACAACTGCAAAATATGTTCAAATTGGGCTCATGAGTCTTGTGGAGTAATGGATGATCTCTATTTTATTTGTGGAAGTTGTATAGAGTAATGTCCCTTTTGAGAAACCAACGGACCATCTAGGATGTCCGGACACATCGTTTCTCATGAAGGGACATTCACACTTTTTTTAATAACAAAAAACGAAGCATATTTTTTATTTTTTATTTAGTTTATATCTAAAATGTATTATTATAAAATAATTAGAATAAAGTTTCATTTTATTACCTCAATTTTTTTAATATCTATAGATTTTCAAGTAGGTATTTGTTATAAAAAAAAACTGTCCCAATTGGGTGACTCTCCCCTAAAAGCTCACATTAAGCTTGATCTTGAGTATGTAAGATAATTTATGAGTGGTTATGTTATGTCGATAAGCAGCTCCGAATGGCCACGCTGCTGCTATGATTAATTGAATTATGTGTAACCGTTTTATAAATAAATAAATAGTTATGTTTTGTTTGTTTGTGCTTCAATAAATACACAACAAGCTCAAAAAGTAAACATAACAGTAAGTAGACATAAGTCGGACAGTAAAAATAGGTAAGGGAACACAGCCAGTTTTGTCTATCGTAAAATCATCTAAGAAAATATGCCAGCCATTTAATTACCGAATACAATGAATTCAACCACAGTTTTCAACAAAACTAAAGTTAACAATAACGTAAAAATTAGATTTACTCAAAATATTTTAAATCAATCGGGTGAAAAGTATTTGGTAGACTATGCCTAATGCGAAGTTAGTAGGTAAAAAAGTCCTATTTATATTAGTGAACTAACCAATTCTGTTTTTATTAAACTAAACACATTGAAAAATTAAACTGAGATGTATACTTAATGCATTGATTTTACTTTAGGATTTTTTGCAATTTTCCAATTATACCGTTATTCAATTATTGTAGTAGAAATTGGGTATAGTACAATACTTAATTTTTGTTGAACTTGTCGTCTAAATTGCCTTGCGTGCGTGTTTTCAACTTTTCAATGTTCAGTTTGTGGAAAACACCTCTTTTTGCATAAATTACGGGCATGCATATTGCGAGTTATTGTCTGACTTAATATAATTAAATTCGATGAAGAACACCTGGCCTATTGGTTAGTAGTTCCTAATATTGGACCATGCAAAAGATTGCTCATATAACTAGATAAAATAGCTCCGAAACTTACACTGAACTTTTGTAATAATTCTACTTCTATTTTTAAAGTTCAAATACGCAACACGTTCTAGAGAAAAACCCACGATCCAATTTAGTCAGTCGAGTCATGTCGAGTTCTCAGTTGGTTGATAGACTCGAGGAAGTTCGAACCGTAAGTGGATTAAATAATAAACAAATTGCAACATTCCCTTGTTTGTTGTATTCGTTTGTGTGTCAGTGGAGTTTAAATGCGTTATGTTGCCGTGACTTTATTAATCAATAATATAATAGCATTTGCTTGTTTTATGTGAATTAATCTTATACACACAGGTAAGTGAGATAAAATCATGAGTAGATTGTTTTGGGTTTTTTTACAGGATAAAATCGAAGAAATTGGCCGCCATAAATGATTAGTCTAAACATATCTTCTTAAAGATTTTTTGTAATGTTTATTTTGTGATTCAATATAGTTAATAAAATACAGAATACAGAAAAAACAAATTGAAAATTATATTTCACATTCAATATTAAAATAAAATTATCTTTAAATTGCTTACATTTGATCTTTTAATGTACAAATGTCACTAAGTATTAGGTATTTTAAATTCACTCAGCGTAACAGATCACTGATACGCAAATATTTCGCACTAATTTATTATTTATTATCTTGGGTAAGTATATAAATATTTGCTCCATGAGATTTGACAATAAATTTCATTACGAGGAGTAGGGATCAAAATAGAAAATTAGAAGGTTTTTACAGACAAAATAAAGAGGAAGAATGAGTGCAAACAAGGTAGATATTAATGTAAACATGCCATATATGTGCCGGTCTCTGGGTCTGAGACATGAGACTGTGGACACTAGTGACACCGTGAATGTGTGAACTGTGACACACGATCAGGCACGGCACAGTCAGACACAGGCAAAGCAGTGATCAGATCAGTGATCACGAATCACGATGTGGAAAGTAGGGGCAGTGAACACTGTGAACAGTGAGTCCGTGATGTTCTGCATGGAACAAAAAACTCCCTCTGGTGCCAGAAAATTTCCCACTTTTTTATACGGAAACAATTTTCGTATTTTAAGTTTTTTTAAAAAGTTTTACCTAATTGAAAAAAAAAAACGATCATATTAATTCGACGTCACTATCGCCATCTCGTTTGGCATCATGAATTAAAGAACAAAGCACTTAAGATAATTAAATTAATAACGAACAAAGCACTCGAAGTTAATCATTTAATCAAAGTAAAATTCATACAATTATCTTCCCTAATTAAGTTCCCAAATTTCTTTCTGTATTTTCCTAGTTATTACTTCAATTGAGTTTGTCACCAAATTCCATACTGTAATTCCCCGTTAATTATTCTCATTTATGCTAAGGCATCCACACATTGGGTTGAGTACTGGGGCAATATCCATGGTACAATGAACTGTACCATGGGCAATATCAGTCTGTTCCCTCTAAAGCCAACTTCAACATGACCGACATGGAAATTGCAGTGGCTGCTACTGTCGTGATAATGAGTACATTTGATTATATTTTGCTACAAAAAAGCGAATTTTACGTCATTTTGTCTACTTAAAGCTACTAGATTTTTAGAGATGCCGTATTTGGCAACTGCAAACTGAATATATTAGTGTAAACCTGACGTCGAGACTCTGAATCCTATTTATTCTTTTATCAACTCAATTCCCAAATTTCTTAGCCTTTTATATTCTGCATCAAACGTGACTTTATCCACAGCCAATGTATGGAAGTACATATTATTTTAAAACGTACATGACCACACGACGATGGTCTATTAGGAATAATTGATCTACATTTCAACATTAAATGCATATACTTTTGTAAAATATATACATAAGTACATTTTTGGGTGCCTGGTACTCAAAAGGTACAAGATACCGAAAAAACCAGATATGTACTGTTATGATAGGTAGAATCGAGAAAAATATTGGTATGCTTAAAATATTTCAAAGTTCAAAAAAAATTAAAAAAAAATTCAGATAAGTCGAATAATAAACTACAAACATTTCGAAGAACGAAAGTCCATTATCTTTGGATTACTTGTATTAAACAGAACGTAAGATATGCATAAATTATTTTCTTTGTAAAATATATTTGAGTGACGTGAATGAGCTTAAGTGAAATCCTAGACAATGGAAGCGGGTTTTCCAAATAAATTTGTGCAGTAATTAGGACAATAGAATAGATTTTCGAAAGATATGTTTTTGTTAGTTCATAAGAATTGGTAGAAAAAGATTAGTTTGTAAATAAGTTTTAGGAAATTTTATAATTGTAGGTAAAAATTTGTTTGTGTTATCGAATTGAAGAAATGGGAGATGTATGACGCGTTTTGATTGGATGAGATTGAAAAAGGTGGGATGGTTGATTTGAGAATGAGACTTTAGTTAGTTTTTGAAGAAAAAAAAGATAGTCAGTTGGTTTTCCAAGTGTGCAAGGCGAACAGTCATTGTTCTCTGGTAGTTCCCGAGAGGTAGCAAGCAGTAGTGTTGAATGTTAGTGAGTTTTTGTGGAGTTAGTGTATCGGACAGAAGCTGATCCAGCAAAATATTGTAAGTCATATTTTTCTACTTATATTCCAAGAGGCACTGTTCAGGCCAACGAGAGATTCAGTTTATCGTAAAGAGAAGATATTCCAAGAGTCATTTTTCACTCAGGCCAACGAGAGATTCAGTTTATCGAGAGGAGAAGAGGCTAACATAATTTGCATGATTCGTGCATTTGAAGGAGATCATTAAGGACGATAAACTTGCAACAATTTGTTGTAAGATTGCTGATTACCTAGGGAGCTGCTAAGAATAGATAGTATAGGCTACAAGGAACAAGGATTTGGACAATTTTTACAATTATTACTTTAGAAAAGATAAAAATATTTTGATTATTAGGAGATTTAGAATAATAATTGGGATTTTGAGATTTAAACTAATACTGTTTGTACCATTAATTTTGAAGGTTCCCGTACGTAGAACAAAATTTTGAGAATCATTATATGAGATATTGTTTATTGAAAACATTTGAGTGTGAATTTTATTTCATTATTTTAATTTCAATATATAATGTTACATCATATATGTTTTTTATTATTCCAGTATTCTTTGGACCTTACCTTTCACATGTAAAGCATAGATATTGAAGCACGAATATCACTATAGTACATTAGTTATTTATTAAGAAATAGCCTTTTTAGCATAAACCCCGTTCTGATAGACCACCGTCGTGTATCTGAGTGTTAATCCTAAACAACTCAACGGAGGTGGCTCCGGTGGCCGAAGATAGATTTGTACATGTTGTAATTTGTTTTTTAATACCGTCATGGAATGGAAATTTTCTTCTTCATCTTCATTTTATATAGACATGACTCTGTTTTTCAATGTTCCTCCACTAAGTTGTTGGTCCATCGTTCTCTTGGTCTTCCTACTGATCGTCTTAGGGAACCGTCTCTTGCCGTCTTTACTACTTTATTTGTTGTCATTCGGCTTATATGATCGTTCCATTCTACCCTTGTATTTCTTGCCCAGTTCTTAATGTTCTCCACCTTGCATCTACGTTGTAGATCTCTACTTCTAACATCCTTTTTGTCCTCTCTGTATCAGGTCTTGTTTCTGCCGCGTATGTCATTATTGGTCTGATGACTGTTTTGTAAATTTTGCCTTGCGTTTCTATCCCTACATTTTTATTTCTCCATATTGGAGAAATTCCTTTTGTACAAATGCTTTTGTAAAGTCCACGAAACATAGATATATCGGTTTGTTGTATTCTAATGATTTCTCTTGCATTTCTTCATTTTCTTCGATAAAGTAATTTTTATTTTCTAAAAAGAATGCTGTGTAAAATGGCGGCACAAGCCTTTTTAAAGAAAAAGGAAGACGAGGCCTCATTTTAGAAACTGTGTCTTGTCATTGGTTTCGTTTTTTTTTTGCTTTGCTAGATTGTGCAAAATTAGGTAATTTTATGCAGTATGCCAACAACTAATATATAAATTATGCGCAAATAGCATAATTGGAACATTGCTCTAGCGCCAATGTGTGGTCGGCATCAACGGCAACACCAATATTGGCGCCAATGTCTTTGATGTGTACACAAAAACCGAAAGCTCACGGAAAACTCCCAACGTTGGAGAAAGTCATAAAAACATTGGCGCCAACATTGGCTCCAACACAGTTTTGTCGGTACACACATTGGACGAAAGCTATTGGGACCAACGGTAAAGATTCATTTTGTTGCTATAAATTAGAAGCAACAAAATAAAGAAATTCTAGCAATTAAACAAATCTCCATTGAAATCTTAAAAGCTTTGCCAATGTAGAATGTTAATAACGGCTGAAGTAATATTAATGAAAATAAAAATATTTTATTTTGCTTAATATGCTAATATCCCTCACTTTGTTACACCCAGGGATCAACTGGGAACGTGATATAGGTGATGTAGCTATAGCTGTAGATTTGTTGATTGAGCATAATACATACGTACACATACACACTACTATACCACAATCAATCGGCAAATCATCAGACAACCGCACCACGAGTACCAAGACATTCAACTGGCTCTTCGTATGGTGAGATCTGGCAAACTTATGGACATAGCTTTGCACAGTATGGGCGCCATGTTTTATTGCATTTGAATTAACAAAACTATAATCTATAAAAATATCCCTACATATAAATCAGTATACAATGCTGCTTCCTTGAAGGTAAGAAAAGATCACGACGCTCTCTACGCAAATAAAAATCGTAATCACGACACCTTAGTGCACATTCGTTTTTTTACGTATTCTTCTTCTTCCCTTTATAAGCAATTCTGCTTGTTCATTGGCGGATTAATACCTCTATGGAAGGTTGTTACTCCATCTTTTGCGTGGTCGTCCAATACTGCTTCTGCCGATTGGTTACTTATCTCTTGATATTTTGAGGACACGGGTGTCCTCCATTCTGCTTATGTGATTATTCCATTCTTTTTGCCATTTTGTATCCATTAGTTTATACACTGTACGTTACATTTTATTCTAATGTCTTCACTTGTCTCTCGATCTCTCAGCGTATTTCCTGTAATTCTTCTCAGTACTCTCATCTCTGCCGTTTCCAGTAGCCTCTGCGTTGTGACTGTTGCGTCTGTTCTTGCTTCTGAGGTATATGTCATTATTGGTCTTACACTGCTTTATAAATTCTTGATTTCATCTCAGTGTTAATGTGTCTGTTTCGCCATATAGTGATATTAAGGCATCCTGACAGTTTATTTGCTTTTTGTACTTGATCTCTCATTTCTTTGTCCAGGTCTCCATAGTTAGACAGTGTAATTCCC